AGCAGTCACCTTCTACTCACAGTAGCAGATTAACTCTTTGTTTTGACAACTAATAAGTTGTCCCACATTGGCCCCCACGTTCACACCTTCCTAACGAGTTGTCCCGGAGTGGACCCCTGAATGTGGTTGTTACGTAATAGACAGGGGGACCACTCTGGGAATACACCGGTACCTTCCTAACGAGTTGTCCCGGAGTGGCCCCTGAATTTGGTTGTTACGTAATAGACAGGGGGACCACTCTGGGAATACACCGGTACCTTCCTAACGAGTTGTCCCGGAGTGGCCCCTGAATTTGGTTGTTACGTAATAGACAGGGGACCACTCTGGGAATACACCGGTACACAGCAGACACCTTTGTTATGTGCCGATTTAAAAACTGAATTAAGATAACCCAGATTTCTATGCAAAAGAATTTAGTATGACACCAGCAAAGAAATCAATGCAATATGACCTTCACACAGTCCGTGATCTTGACATATTGAGACATGCGCTTGACCCCAACAGAATTTTAGTAACTTTCCATTTCATACTGGATAGGTCTATGCTGTTCTAGAATCTTCCAGAGTCTAAAGCATGTCACACCGTATCCCTCCACTGAATTTTAACTGCCCTACTGAATCTTATCAGAAACAATGTAATACTATTGCAACACTGTTTTACAACACTGAATTACACAACCACACAACAACATATTATAGCAAAGCGTTTTACCATGAGACAACTATTTTAAAATATTTATTAGTTCTTTTCACATCGTACTATTGTTTTCACTATTACGTGTCCTTGAATCATACGATGCAGGTTTGAGCTTCTCTGCCGACACATGTTTACCGAAAAAATCAAATCAAATCACAAAGAAAGTGAGTGAGTGAGAGTTGGGTTTTACGCCGCTTTTAGCAATATTCCAGCAATATCACGACGGGGGGACACCAGAAATGGGTTTCACACATTGTACCCATGTAGGGAATCGAGCCCGGGCGTGACGAGCGAACGCTTTACCCTCCAGGCTACACCACCTCCCCTCATAGTCTGGTGGGTACAGTATTCAAGTCCCGTGGAAGGTTTGTGATGAAAGCAAGTTAAATAAAAAGTTTGGTTCCAAGTTGAAATATGGTGCAAATAGTACTTTTGAGCACTGTACAAAATGTTTGCGGAAAAGGTTGCTAAAAGGTCAGAAGGTCATAATGGGAGAGTTGAATATTTAAAGTTGAGGCTATTAACGTTATCCAAGTGTGTTTCTCTATTTCCTGAAATATTTTATTAAAAGAAAACCCCAAAATATATTTTTTTTAAATTTAATTTTTTTTATAATGAACACTCCCTCTCTCAAAATGGCAGCTAGCAGACGAATTTAAGCAGATGTAGGTTTTGTGCATTTTGTAAGTATATGATTGCTTCATTTCATCAACTCAATGTAAATCAAGTTATTAAAGAACAGTTATGTAGGAAACAAAAAAGAGATGTTTATTTTGTTTGGTGAGAGTAAGTAAGGGAGCAATCCTTATTTCAAAATGTAGTTGGTCAATATCAAATTATGATTTATCAATTTCTTATTATTACGCTTGAAGTTTTTCTTCTAAAAGCAGATTTCTATGAAAATAGATAAGAATATAATGAAAGGATGGGGAGAAAACACTATTTTCGGCTTCACACTCTCTCAATTAAATCCCTTGAAATAATTTTCAAGTCATCGGATCGGATCATTCTAAAATGGTTATAATCTTTGAAAAGAAATATATACAAATAAATGTGGGGAGAAATCTTTTTTTATCAGCAGGACAGGAGAGCTTGTTTGACTTTGGGTGATAACAAGTAGGTGTTTATTCCCTGATCTGAGAGATCTAGATGGTGCATAAGCCTGAAGAGGATCGGAGAGGTAGACTGGAGTCGTGTTAGTCATGCACTGGTATGCGAGACAGAATAGTTTGAAGGAGATTCTGTTTTTCACGGGCAGCCAATGAAGGTGAATATTCTATATGCATGGGAGTTGTCAGTGACACAAGGTGGAGATCCGGCCAAAAGGCTGTTACAGTAGTCCATACGAGATGTGACTAGGCTGAGGCAGAGAGTTTATGAGGCATCTTTGGTAAGAACGGTCTGGCCTTTGATATTATGGAGATGGGAGTAGCAAGTTTTAGTAACATACTTGACGTGTTCTGTCATACTTAGACCTTGATCGATGACAGTGGAAGAAAGAGGAATGATTGCTCCACAGACACACACACTAGTAACATCACACTGCTTGCGTTTTCCAACCTGTCCCAGAAGAATGAACTTTGTTTTCTCTTCATTTAATTTCAAGGCATTTGATGACATCCATGAATATCTTCTGGCAACTGTCTGATGTCTGATAGAGAGACGCTCTAACTGACTCTGTGTTTGGTTGAAAAAGCTTCCACAGCTGCGTGACATCTGCGTAGAAGTGGTCAAGATTAACGTTTGCTAAAACAGAGCCAAGTGGAACAGAGTAGAGGGTGGAGAGGATCGGACCAAGCACGGATCCTTGAGGGACTCTGCACTCAAGCCTAGATGCGGTTGACACAGACTCACCAACAACAACGGTTTGAGTCCTGTCCTGTAGATAAGATGCCAGCCAGGATAAAGCTGAATCCAAGTTCTGTATCAAGTCTTTTGAGGAGTCTCTGGTGATCAATCGTGTCAAAGGCACTGCTTTGGCCAAGTAATGTGAGCAGGGCCACTTGTCCTGTGTCAATACCACATCGTAGGTCATTCAGGATCTTCAGCAGAGCCGTCTCTGTGCTGTGGTGTGCTCTGCAGGCTGATAGGAACACCTCATAGAGGTTATGTCAGGAAAGGTGGCCCATGAGACGACTGGAGACTGCACGTTCAACGAGTTTGGATATAAATGCTAAGTTTGAAACAGGCCTGTAGTTTTTTTTATCCTCCTAATCAAGTCTTGATTTCTTCAGATGTTTAGCAAATTGTCTTTAAAAGTATCCATATCCAGGGATCGCATGTTCCTACAGCGAGTAATCTTCACATTTGGAGTGGGTATTGAGAGGTCCAAGCTCACAAAGATATGGAAATGGTCAGAGGCTGTAGATCCTATACTGATACACAACTGACACACGCGTCTGAAGCACGGGTAACTATCCAGTCCAGAGTGTGTCCACCTCTGTGGCTTGCCTCTGACACGAGTTGTACACAGTTGTGGACGTAAAGAAGATTAAGTATTCGTTTAGTGTCATGGTTATCCTTGTTGTCAAAATGGAAATTGAAGTCGCCTACAATGATAAGAGCTACTTCGTGAACTTATCCAGGCGGTGCCGAGCAGTAATTGCTGCCAATGGTTGCCATACAAAGAACTGACTTTGACGCCATCATGTGGACTAAACAGAAACACAACAGTAAAAGCTTTGTCTATAGACGTTTGAATTTTCACCTTTTTACCATTGGGATTACATGGAATAATTGCACTTAAACTAACGCAAGAAATTCTTCTAAAAAAATGGCTTGTGCGTTTCTTTTTTTGAAGATTATATTTCCGGGTCGCAGTTTCATGTAAAGACCTCTTCTATAGTTGATAAACAGGGTTAAAGGTATATTCCTTTTTCATATTGTACTAGTTCTATGCAAAATATATGCCTTGTGAAGAAATCGGGTTTTTATTCATCATTATAACTTTTAGAGCTAAAAGTAACTCTTTTATGTAAATTTAAGACTAAAATCAAACTAAAGAGATCTTGAGACTAACAGCATATGAGATATATATTCCGTAACCAAATATGCATGGTATTTGATATTAAAACCATTGTTTTGTTCCGAGTTTTTGCAACTTTTTCAGTTCCCGGTTAAATATGGGCGTCCATCTTGGATTTTGAGCTAAAAATAGCGTTTGCATCAATATTCAGATTGGAACCAAACATTTTTTTAAACTCCTTTAACATATAAACACAAAAGAATATATGATTTGCTTTCATCAAAAAACTCGCACGGAATCCCATAAGCTCCTTGACTATCACAAAGAAAGCAGTTTTTGCAACGTTTTCTATAATTGAACTGTGACTGATAGCCAGTTGTCTCTTCCTGGGACATAACAGAATACAATCACCTGACGAATGTGTTTCCACAGGTGAATGCATCAGCTTCGGTCATCAATCTAGCACAATGCATTAGTGTTGGGAATTGGTTAAAATCTCATAATTGATGATTGGTTCATTACAACCGATCAATCATCGAAAATAATTGGTTAGCGTCATTTAAGAGTATGGAGGAACATACATTTCTTAGAGTCTTTAAGATAAATTCAGTCATGACTTGGAACGAGCTTGCAGTGCTCATGAAATGTAACAGACAAAACCAACCTAGTGAAAAATACTGTTAATGAAAACAAGTGTTCTAGAATTGTTTGTGTTAGATTATGAGAAAACATGATCGATTGCTTGGTCGTTTAGTCACTGAGACCAATCTTCGATTATTTCAATTAATCGGACCACCACTACAATGCATACAAGGTTACGCACTTGAGATCCGCATGGGTTTATGCCGTACCAATAACGACAAGATGCTTTATGAATGTATAGACCTGACGCACATTATAATAGAAAAGACAAGTTGTCATCCATATCTTGTCTTTGTTGTTAATCACCAACTTCTAAACTACCAGTCAAACACAGTTATTACCGAAAGCCAATCAGTATTTATATCAATTACACCATGCTTGGTTGCTATCTGTGGCTTCCACATTAAAACTTAATGTTCACTCATTTTGTGGCCGACGGGTTTAAATCATAGTTTTGTCTGTTGTATTGATGCAGACGTATCCATGCGCCTTGTTGTCAATAAACAATACTGTGGCTTTCGAAGATTAGTGGAAGGAGCCTTGGTTTGGTACAAGAATGATATTCAGCCAATCAGTACACCACGAAGCTCACACTGCCGAGCATCAGCGAATCACAAATGAATGCATCTCCATATATGGTGTTATTTGATGGTAGTTACTTGCATAATTACCCCGTGTGAGTTGCTGCAGTCGTTACTGCCCCCTACAACATTACCTAGCACGACATCACCTCATAGTACGGCGAGGGCCTATGGTGTTACATTGTCTGGTTCAGTATGACGTTTTCGTAATAAGCTTGAGAAGTAGTATTGTTTATACACCGACCCGGAGACTTGTAAGTCTGCGACCAGTTGTACGGGAACAAAATGGACAGCAATAGACATGAATCGGTTGCTTCCCTCACCAATTACTTCGCGGAAAGCACGAGCATGCATGGGGTGTCCAGGTTTGTAGGAAAACGGGGCTTCTTCAGGAGAGCTTTCTGGGTTCTGGCGGTGTTAGCTGGTGCTGGTGAGTAGACAATTTTTGTGTTATTACGTTTACAAAACAACGGTGACAGAAATGTTTGAATGGACAAAACACCCGTAACAATTTCTTGAATGTCATGCTTCTCCTGGGCCAACTATTTCTTCCCTCGCAACCCGAATTGCAGTTGCAGTTGTAACGAACTAAAATAGGATTTGGTTTTACCAGGGAGACTATATAAACTTGAACATAGATGAAGGAAATTCGACACACGGATGAACATATGTATTGTTGTCATGGTCAGCTTTAATTCAGTTCACTCACTGCACATTGTGTGGACACGAGGGGGCGTTCAGGTCAGTACCTGGTGACACCACCCCTTGCAGCCGTCACTGCTCGACACCGCCTTAGAAGGGATTGCACAAGTCGCCGGATTTTAGCTTGAGGAATTCTTTGTTATTCCTTCTGCAACGCGTTGGCAAGTTATGCAAGTTTCTGAGGACGATGGTGACCTTTACTGACGGGTCGATCAAGTTCGTCCCATAGACGCTCGATCGGGTTCAGATCAGGCGATTTGGAAGGTCAGGGGTGGACATTGACGTTTGCGTCGAGCGATGTCGTGTTGAAACAGCTCCCTCTGGCGGTTACAAAATGGGAGGAGGTGAGGTCGCAGGATTTGGTAGATGTAGCGATTTGCTGTAAGATTGCCTTGAACCACCACTAGCTCTGATCTACCCGTATAGGACATGACTCCCCACACCGTTCCTCTCTCCACCAAATCTGTCCACCTGTCTAACGCAGTTCGGCGCAAAACGTTCGTGTCGACTCTACCCTGACGTTGCAGGAGGAAACGCGCTTTATCGCTGAACCAAACGCGTCGCCAGTTACCAAGGTTCCATGCCTGTACCCTGCTGCACCATTGGAAACTTTGTTGGTGTAGTCGTGTCAGGACAGGTCCAACTTTTGGTCGATATACTCGAATTCCCACTTCTCTCACACGATTTCTGATGGTTTGGTCGGAAGACCAGGAACCTGTCCTGCAGTGTCCGTTGCTGTAGCAAATCGGTGACGTAGGTGAAATACCCGCGTGAATGAGCCCTGACCAGGAGTGGTGACTCTTGGTCTTCCACTTCAGGAACGATCTTGGGTCGAATTGAAGCGGGTATATCGATGCCATAATCGAGATATGGTGCTGTGATGGACGTTAAAGTGTCTTGCAACGGCAGACTGGGACTCCCCTGCTTCCAAACGTCAATTAGTAGCATTCAATCTTGGCATTTTTTAATCTTCGTTTACGTCGTAAATTTCGCAATAAAATAATGAAGTTGGGTTGGTATTTTGCACGTGCATTTTGTGGAAAACTTTTTCTGCATGCACGTTTACAAACACGTTTTGGGATGGGTTTGCGCGCAATACATAACAACCACGACGTGATTAACGGGATTCAAACATAGGACATGTCCCAATGACGAGTGCTGTCAAAATATATGGAAATGAACTGCTGAAAACGCCTATGCGTTTCTTTTTTGTGAAGAGTATCAGGTTTTGCCGCTTTTTAAAAGGAATTATTTGTGTGGCTTTAATTGCATGTGTGGCGACTACGCGGGTAAAGTGATACGTCTTCGCTTTGCTAACACTTTCAGAGGGATGGTGCATTGATTGATCTCACACACTGATAAATCGACAGATAACATAATTGTGGTTCAATTATTCACTCCCACATTGTTGTTCCGCACAACTTTGAGATGACTCCTTTCTCCAGAATCGATGTCCTTTCATGGCCAAACAATGGTGCGTATCATATTGGTTGTATCATAGTGCACAGACACAACTAATCAGGTCTGAAGTTGTAACGTTACAAGGTGATTTCAAGTTTGAAAAGGTCACGTAACCAATGTTATTTGCCTGTAGGGATGTCACGGTCGGTCACCAGTCCAATGCTCTATGCTTGTCTCTACTTGATTTCAGAGAAGAATAGGGCCCCGAGTGCTCCTTTGTTTTCCTCTGTGGGATTTCAGGGTAGAATAAGTCCCTAGCATCCTATGCATTTTTCCCGGTCGTGATTTTAGTTGAAATAGGGCTCCAGCACAGGCTTATTTTTCTGAGACACTTTTGTTGTAGAATAGGTTATAAACCCCTAACGCTTGTTTATAGGTGGGGATATATGGGTAAAATAGTTTCCCCAAAATCCTATGATTGTTTGTCTAAGATGACTCAAGGGTAGAATATGTCCCCCTCATCCCATGATTGTCTCTGTGGCGACATACGGGTAGAATATGTCCCCGTAATCACATCATTGTCTCAGTGGTGATATAAGGTTAGACTATGTCCCCGTAATCCCATGACTGTCTCTGTGGTGACATGAGGGTAGAATATGTCTCCGTCATCACATGACTGTCTCTGTGGTGACATAAGGGTAGAACATGTCCCCATCATCCCATGATTGTCTCTGTGGTGACATAAGGGTAGAATATGTCCCCGTCATCCCATGATTGTCTCTGTGGTGACATAAGGGTAGAATATGTCCCCGTTATCCCATGATTGTCTCTGTGGTGACATAAGGGTAGAACATGTCCCCATCATCCCATGACTGCCTCTGTGGTGACATACGGGTAGAATATGTCCCCATCATCCCATGCTTGTCTCTGTGGTGACATACGGGTAGAATATGTCCCCGTCATCCCATGATTGTCTCTGTGGTGAACAAAGGGTAGAATATGTCCCCGTCATCCCATGATTGTCTCTGTGGTGAACAAAGGGTAGAATATGTCCCCGTTATCCCATGATTGTCTCTGTGGTGAACAAAGGGTAGAATATGTCCCCATCATCCCATGACTGTCTCTGTGGTGAACAAATGGTAGAATATGTCCCCATCATCCCATGCTTGTCTCTGTGGTGACATAAGGGTAGAATATGTCCCCGTCATCCCATGACTGTCTCTGTGGTGACATAAGGGTAGAATATGTCCCCGTCATCCCATGATTGTCTCTGTGGTGACATAAGGGTAGAATATGTCCCCATCATCCCATGATTGTCTCTGTGGTGACATAAGGGTAGAATATGTACCCGTCATCCCATGACTGTCTCTGTGGCGACATGAGGGTAGAATATGTCCCTGTCATCCCATGATTGTCTCTGTGGTGAACAAAGGGTAGAATATGTCCCCGTCATCCCATGACTGTCTCTGTGGTGAACTAAGGGTAGAATATGTCCCCGTCATCCCATGATTGTCTCTGTGGTGAACAAAGGGTAGAATATGTCCCCATCATCCCATGACTGTCTCTGTGGTGAACTAAGGGTAGAATATGTCCCCGTCATCCCATGATTGTCTCTGTGGTGACTTAAGAGTAGAATATGTCCCCATCATCCCATGATTGTGTCTGTGGTGAACTAAGGGTAGAACATGACCCCGTCATCCCATGACTGTCTCTGTGGTGAACTAAGGGTAGAATATGTACCCGTCATCATATGGTTGTCTCTGGACAGAAGACATCGTGTGACTTTAAGTCACAATATACATCACATATTTGTCTGGCGTTCAAGTTAAATGAAGTAAAAACCCAATTACGAAGTACAGGAGCTTAACCTTTTTCAGTGAAATAACATTGACGGGGTGAGGATATGCTACATACTTTCTAACTTTAACCCAGTACATGCTTACACTGTTTCTAAAGCCTTTTATGTATTCCTGAATAGATTCTGAATGATCCTGGCTAAAGGAGACTGTCTCCGTAGGCTACTTTGATTGAGCATTGGCACGTAAAGCCGAAAGTACTTCTCTTTGGCCCAATGAATCGTGATAGCTCGTACCCTGACAATGTCATGTTGATAACGAATTTCATGTCAGCAAACTTACATTCTAAACAACGTGTTTTAATCTTATACACAAACATAAGCATTATCCTTGTCCCATAATTATGACGCATTTGGAGTTTAAAGATGTTTAACCACCGCTATGCTTCACCACTAAATGTTTTTCACAGCTAAACATATTTGTATTCATTCTTGAAATGCACTCTAGATAAATAAAAAGGTTGCTACTGTATTTTAAACGTTATTTTGTGTGTGCGTGCGTGCGTGCGTGTGACTTCTATGTTAGGATGTCTATATATATCTAGTAAACAGACAAACAGCTTCCGTTTGAGGCAACAACACATTCATGTGAACGAAACACTGAAATATTGGAGGATTTCTGAATAGCAAATTCTTGGTTTGTAATCCTTCAGGTTCCCAGACTGTTGTCACAATCTTCAATTTATCCTCTTACCGATATCTTAGGTTTGTTGTTTTGCACATTATCATGTGAACATTGTATCGACTTACGTCCTAGTAGTGCGTTACAGCAAGAGTGAATGAACATCTAATTTCAATATCTGAACGAGCTTTACCACATTACAAGCTCATAATACCTATTGATTCAACATATACGTTTATATTTTCAACATATACGATAGGGATTCTTGATGCAGCCGGAATCGTTCAATGGACGTAGATATCTTTTTTTTTTGCTTCCATTGTACGCTTTGAACACAGTTTTATATAACATCATATAATTTTTAACAGAGATTATGGTATAATGTTATTTCACGTTTTCCTTTTCAAAGGCGTTGCTGTGTACAACATCTGGACGATAGTCATCGTCTACAGCAGGTGGGAGGTATCGACAGTGGTCAGTCTCAAATACAACTCCAGACTTCGCTTCCCTGCCATCACGTTTTGCAACCTTAACCCAGTAATGAAATCCAGTATTGAAGTTATACAGACTGTATTTGACAGCTTGAAAACAACTTCGCAATTCCAGGTAAGCAATATTTCATGGACATTCCGGACATTCCGGACATTCCGCTATATCGATCATATTTTAAACATTTCGACTTCAATAAAAATAGTTTTTGAAACGAAGTAAAATCCGGGTTATGATCATAATTATGCATTGGTAGCTGAATGACCAGGTACTATTCACAGAACGCAATCGCACCTACACAGGGGAGCCAATTGTTTGGGAGTGTCAGTTCAGCAGTTTCTAACGGAGACGTCAGGTTGTTTGAGAGTGGCAGTTCATCTGTCTCCAACGAAGAATTCAACAGCGGCTTCCTGAAAAGAATCAATTTCCAGAGAGTATTGGCAAGCTTGAATACGTCGGTGAAAATCCAAATCGGCCATCAAATCAGCGACATGCTTTTAGAGTGCTCCTTCCAAGGACTGGTTTGCTCACATAGGTGGGTGTTAATACATTCATAGAACGAGTGAGTGACCATTTGGTTTGAACACTTTCTATTTAAAAAACCAAAACAAAACAAAACTCTAAATATTGAGTATCGTAACCATTTTCTTCATTCGTGAATGATGATAAATAAATAGAACTACCAAACCACCCAGTCCATGATCAAAATAAACCTTTGCTAAAAGCAATGCATGATAGAAGAAGGGATTGACTGACGAAGGGATGGATGGATGGAAGGATGAATGAGACATGATAGAAGGAGGATGGGTAGATCGATGCACTATACAGATAGATGACGGATGGGCGGATGGATGGATAGATGATACAACATGATATAAGGAGTATGGATAGATGGATGCACTATACAGACAGATAGATAGATGACGGATTGGTGGATGGATGGATAGAGGAAGGATGGGTAGATGGATGCACAATACAGACAGATAGATGATGGGTGGATGGATGGATAGATGATACAACATGATAGAGGGAGGATGGGTGCACTATACAGACAGATGGATAGATAAATAGATAGATAGATAGATAGATACATACATACATACATACATACATACATACATACATACATACATACATACATACATACATACATACATACATACATACATACATACATACATACATACATACATACATACATACATACATAGAAGATGGATTGGTGGATGGATGAGCAGACGAACTGTTATAGATATAGACATAACGATGTATGGACGTGTGGTTATGGCAATATACTGAACAACATTAGAAACGCACCACACTAAAATGCACCGACGCTCAGATATCATGGGTACATTTCTGTCTGACGGGGATATTTCGTATTATAGGGTGGTGCGTTTCTAATGTTGTTCTGTATATATACATATGTAAATTTAATTAAGCATCTCTTTAATGAACTAGTACATAAAATGTGTCAAAGATCCCCATACTATATGAATGTTGTAGTGAAAAAAAGGGTTTAGGAGAAACATAGCCAAGATTACCATGACATAATCTCGTTTATTTGAATATGGTACAGATTAGGAAAATGACGTCGTTACAGTTGCATTGAATATCTCCACAAAATTATCTTGCTATACCGCAAGATGCGAAATGCTAATAAATTATTTATATATATGCTCTGTTTTCTTTTAAATCACAGAAATATAGGCCTATGAATTAGTTGTTGCTTAATCAATTTCCGTATGTATTTGAACAATGAAAAATACATACAAATAAAAGTGAATTGAACTTGTAAGGCGATAACCTGCACCTGAAGGAAATAATCATTTTAACATACTCTTGCAGGAACTTCACCCACTTCTACAACTACATGCACGGCAACTGCTACACCTTCAATCCGACAGACGACGATTCCACCTACATCAGCAGAACGGGGCCGCTTTACGGTACACGTTGTCTAACTCTGTATGTAAAGTTCACCTTCCACGCGGTGTAGACGAGTACATGAGCATTGTCAATACACGGTATGTGTCGTGATCAGAGCGAAACAGGGGTTTAATGATACCTTAAATGACTACCCTAAGGGAGGCAACTCCGTGCCTAAATCATCAGTTCCTGTCAATCCTAATTAGATATCGAAATATAAAGATATAAAAATCTAATTTAGTTAAAATGTAACAGCATATTCAAATATCTTGACTGCTTGGCTAAAACAGCTATGAGTTCCCGTGACTCCTTCACCAATGTTTATTTTGGTCCCGTAGGCGAGTCTCTGGTATTGTGTGTGTTTCCCTACAGTTCTGTCTCTGATGTCGTCTGTGTTCCTGCAGGTCTGTCTCTGATGTCGTCTGTGTTCCTGCAGGTCTGTCTCTGATGTCGTCTGTGTTCCTGCAGGTCTGTCTCTGATGTCTGTGTTCCTGCAGGTCTGTCTCTGATGTCTGTGTTCCTGCAGGTCTGTCTCTGATGTCGTCTGTGTTCCTGCAGGTCTGTCTCTGATGTCGTCTGTGTTCCTGCAGGTCTGTCTCTGATGTCGTCTGTGTTCCTGCAGGTCTGTCTCTGATGTCGTCTGTGTTCCTGCAGGTCTGTCTCTGATGTCGTCTGTGTTCCTGCAGGTCTGTCTCCTGATGTCGTCTGTGTTCCTGCAGGTCTGTCTCTGATGTCGTCTGTGTTCCTGCAGGTCTGTCTCTGATGTCGTCTGTGTTCCTGCAGGTCTGTCTCTGATGTCGTCGTCTGTGTTCCTGCTGTCTGTCTCTGATGTCGTCTGTGTTCCTGTCTGTCTCTGATGTCGTCTGTGTTCCTGCAGGTCTGTCTCTGATGTCGTCTGTGTTCCTGCAGGTCTGTCTCTGATGTCGTCTGTGTTCCTGCAGGTCTGTCTCTGATGTCGTCTGTGTTCCTGCAGGTCTGTCTCTGATGTCGTCTGATGTGTTCCTGCAGGTCTGTCTCTGATGTCTGTGTTCCTGCAGGTCTGTCTCTGATGTCTGTGTTCCTGCAGGTCTGTCTCTGATGTCGTCTGTGTTCCTGCAGGTCTGTCTCTGATGTCGTCTGTGTTCCTGCAGGTCTGTCTCTGATGTCGTCTGTGTTCCTGCAGGTCTGTCTCTGATGTCGTCTGTGTTCCTGCAGGTCTGTCTCTGATGTCGTGTGTGTTCCTGCAGGTCTGTCTCTGATGTCTGTGTTCCTGCAGGTCTGTCTCTGATGTCGTCTGTGTTCCTGCAGGTCTGTCTCTGATGTCGTCTGTGTTCCTGCAGGTCTGTCTCTGATGTCGTCTGTGTTCCTGCAGGTCTGTCTCTGTCTCTGATGTCGTCTGTGTTCCTGCAGGTCTGTCTCTGATGTCGTCTGTGTTCCTGCAGGTCTGTCTCTGATGTCGTCTGTGTTCCTGCAGGTCTGTCTCTGATGTCGTCTGTGTTCCTGCAGGTCTGTCTCTGATGTCGTCTGTGTTCCTGCAGGTCTGTCTCTGATGTCGTCTGTGTTCCTGCAGGTCTGTCTCTGATGTTGTCTGTGTCACGACTAATCTGTCTCTGATAGTGTCAGTCGCTCATGTTGTGCGTCTCTGATGTTGTCTGTTTCTCCACAGTTCTGTCTGTGATGCTGTATGTGTACTTACAGGTCTGTCTCTAACGCTATACGCTGACGAGGGGGAGTATATCTCCAACCTCAGCAGCAGCGTTGGTTTCAAGGTGGTCGTCCACAGCCCCAATACCATGCCATTCCCTGAAGACGACGGATTCGACATAAGTCCCGGGTTTGCCACCTCAGTCGGAGTCACCAAGGTAAGGATAAAGACTGTGACCTTGACCATCACAGGTTGAATATTCTTGGGGTTGAGGTCTGAGCACGGAGTCCTGGTGTGGGGTCCAGTCAACACATCTGTGTCGCTTTCGTTATATCCTGTTCTATATGAAACAAGGGGGTTGGATACTGGTCATACTGGTGGCTTGTCGCACGGAATCCTGGGTTCTGTTTCCTACGTTGGTGCAATGGGACATTTCGGATGTCCCTCAGTCACGATATGGTCGAATATTACCCATATCAGCGTAATACTCAACTCACTCAATTAGGTAAATACAGCATATGTGTACGCGCGAACAGGTTAACCCAGATTGCATGGAGATATTATAATCTGATATTTATATCATTTTCTCCACACCTTGTATGTTGTTAGGTCGCCGTGGAGCGTGTTTCACACCCCTACGGTAACTGCAAGCTCTATGCGGAAGGGGCAGAGGAACCTCCCAATATATTCACCACCGAGGTTCCCAACATCAGCTACAGCGATAAGGTTGGGACGCTGATGAGAAACAAACTTAATACAATCTGTTAAACAGTTGATAACATCTTTTGTTACCCTGCACACATCAGATATATTCAACGTGGCGTTGTTCGCTGTTGGTGACGCCGTAACAAGACTTTCTCGCCAGGGGCAACGTACCCCTGTATATTACTTATAACAATCACTGTTTGTCTTACGTGTACTTGGTGGCCATTTCCTGGCATTCACAACGATGAGATGAATCCTTTGAAGCCCGTCGCGTTCTGCTGATTACGGGTTCGAATACAAGGACAACCTGATCATGATCCTTGTTTTAATGAGATGACAACAGAGACTTGAGATAGGATTTCTTGGTTGCTATGGTGACTTGTCTTCGTTACTATGGTGTTGTATTTCTATTCAGACGTGCAAGAGGACGTGTTTGCAGAAGATGCTGGTGTCGGAGTGCGGCTGCTGTTACAACATCTACCCATGCAACTCCGACGCCCTCAACATCATCAACTCAAGCATCCCTCACCCAGTAGGGTTTTGTAACATTGAAACCAACAAAAACGGTACTTCAGTTATCAATTAACGAATCCTCCTGTTTGTGATGGTGTTATATTTCGCTGAACTACAATAGCTCAAGCTTAGAGTTAGATTCACGTGATGCATTGAATAGAACTGGAATCTTAGGCGTGAACTGAGCGCTCTTAAATGGACTACATGTTTGCCATGTCATTTTTCAAGCTTTAACGTTTTGAATAACGCATGGATTAAATATTGTATTGGCACTGTATCTATTTTTGAGGACGGAATGGTTTCATCAGATCTGCCCGCATATCCGAGTCCGAGCAAGGTTTAACATTACTACATCATAATGGCGGCTGAAAGTATTTTATTTTAGGCCAACCATGTGACATGCATGGAGGTTGAATTTTTCGCCGGGCAAATGATTGTTGTCGTATTTTCGACACATTCATTTATATACCAGCCAGGAGGGATAGAGCTAAACAAAAAATAGAGGGCTTTGGGTAATAAATGTAGATTCTGCGAATTGCGGGACCGCTGAACTGTCCTAACTGGCAGAGTTCTGTTCCAGAGACATGTGCATCAGCGGCGTTGAAAAGGCACAAGAATAACCAGCTGATTTGTCCGGACACGTGCGATCCACCTTGCCAGTAGGTCACTGTGATCAGTGTTGCAGTCTTCTGTGTAGCACACGTCCCCTGCCGGCTGTGTCTTCTGTCGTATTTCTACTATGATGATGTGTGTTGTCTACTATCTAATATGTAGTGAGTTCTGTGTGCAGTCTGCCGTGAACTGTGTGCAGTCTGCCGTGAACTGTGTGCGGTCTGCCGCGAACTGTGTAGAGTCTGCCGCGAACTGTGTGCAGTCTGCCATGAACTGTGTAGAGTCCGCCACCGTCTGTGTAGAGTCTGCCGCCGTCTGTGTAGAGTCTGCCGCCGTCTGTGTAGATCTGTGTAGAGTCTGCCGCCGTCTGTGTAGAGTCTGCCGCCGTCTGTGTAGAGTCTGCCGCCGTCTGTGGTAGTCTGCCACCGTCTGTGTAGAGTCTGCCGCCGTCTGTGTAGAGTCTGCCGCCGTCTGTGTAGAGTCTGTTGTCGTCTGTGTAGAGTCTGTTGCCGTCTGTGTATAGTCTGTTGTCGTCTGTGTATAGTCTGTTGTCGTCTGTGTATAGTCTGTTGTCGTCTGTGTATAGTCTGTTGTCGTCTGTGTATAGTCTGTTGTCAGTGTACAGTCTGTTGTCGTCTGTGTATAGTCTGTTGTCGTCTGTGTATAGTCTGTTGTCAGTGTACAGTCTGTTGTCGTCTGTGTATAGTCTGTTGTCGTCTGTGTATAGTCTGTTGTCAGTGTATAGTCTGCTGCCTTCTGCTTCCCTACTGCCTGCTGTGTAGTGTGTAGCCTACAGTCTAATGTCTTGAGTGTACAGCTCGATCTCCTATGTAAGGTATTCGCGCCATGTCACAAGTCAGTCTTGTACCTAGAATATATAAACCAACAAATCAATCAAACATGAAAACATAACATATGGTACAAGTGAAGGTACGGAAGTGCATCGGTCATTTCGAAGGTCAAGTTTGGAAATGTACTCCACATGTCAAACTCTATTAAGCAGGATTCGTATGCCGCCTCTTAGACAGAGTATACTGAATTACAGAGCACCTATCCAATGAACATACCTAAGTGTGGAGGAGCTGCTGGGATATTGCCTGACATTAAGGGACACTTGAAGTCATCCCTCTTGTCCCGTGAAGAGGTTTTATCTTTCTCCTTGCAGAGATCTCAATATGACTCGCAGGTATCCTATATTTCTAGTTGTGAGTAAATTGGTGGAAGGAGATGAGTTATTTGATGGCTATTGAACGACATGAAACAATCGATGTTCTTGAAGCTTAAGGTAAAACTCTTGGCCATATTTCCGTGGTATGTCTTTGCTGGTGCGAGCAGAAATTCCAATTCATGTGTACAAAGAAATAAATCCTAAAGGAGGGGAGCACGATTTGTACCCCTGGGGATGCTTGCTTCTAGCCAGAATGTCCCTTCTGGACTATTTCACACATCTACTACCAGTAAGGAAGTTCAAAATTTCACATATCGTTTTTATTATTGACAAATTGTCCGGAACTTATTAAGATAGACATGCAACTCTTTAACTATGGCCTTTACATATATCAACAGATGACCAGCTTATATAGAACGACAGTTTTTCGTGAAGTTTGTCATGTTGGATAATGGTGTGCAAAGTTAAAACTTCACATGACAGAGGACGTTGAATAATATCTAACGACTTTTGCTTGATTCAGAGACGAGTCCCACCAGTTGGAGATCTCCACAGCCATGTGGCCAGCAAGCAACTATCTTTCCAGCCTTCTAGATGACTTTATCAACGGTCTCAGGAACAAACAAAGTGTGTCGCCTATCAACGAGAATGCATCTGCAGATGACAAAGATACATTTTTCAGGTCCGTAAAAGATGCCAGATCCAAAATTATACATTAGGGTCGTCAAGGGTTAGGGCTAGGATAGGGAAGAGGATCACGTTACGGGTTATGTTTGGGCTTAGGGGTCAGGGTCAGGGTCAAGTGCATGAAAAGCGATGATGAGGATTTTCCGACATAATGCGTATTTCGAACAGGGGAAAATGAAACTTGATGACAATCGGACATATTGTATCAGCTCCTGCCGCGGTACATTGTACTGACAGTAGGGTTGCTATTTCCAGGGAGAACGGTGGTTTGATGCCCAGCAGCATCACACTACAGTATTTAAGGATGGTACTTGTTGTCGCCCTGGCTGGCGCAGTGTACATTGTACTTATCTGCGGAATACAATGTTTATTCCCATTTCAGAATATTGCCCAACCTAATAATAACATCGACGAAACCTTCCACGTCCATAAGAAATGTCGGTTGTACAATTCCGACTATGTTATGTTTGTTGGTTTTACGCTGCATTCAGTGACAACCGTGATAAACATATACAAAAGCTAGCTACTTGTTCACTTGAAAGCACTCGGGACCGTATGGGTACAAATCAAAATAAATCGGACAGCATTTTTGTAACTGGTGCATCAAATTTTGAAATGTACTGTCCACAATAAATCTTTTGAAAGCAGTCCTTGATTGTTGAGTCCTTGAATGCTGTAACCTTGATCAAACAACTTCTGAGCAAGGGTCATTTGACGCTATTTGATATCTTGGTAAAAGAACATGCTCGATTGTACTTCAAAGGTTGTGAAATGTAAATAACAGGGGGCTATACCTGTTGGAATGTTGCTCCACAAGAGAAGTCTGAATTTTGGAAAGCTGGAATTCGAAATGATTCCTTTAGTCACACAGCCTTGTGAAGAGTACTTTGTCACTCTGAAACTTCATGCATAGATCTAAATATGGGAATGTCTCTCTTATTTGAAGTTCACTGGCATGGTAGCCTCTATCTGTTATGCCTGCGTCTGTTTATTCAGGAGAAACATGCTGAAACTGAATGTGTTCTACAAGGAACTAAACTACCAGAAGATAAGGACAAGGCCGTCATACGACGTGAGTATGTGTGAGTGAGTGAGTGAGTGAATAATACAATATCATATAGTAGATCATGTCTCTGTTTCGTATATTGGTTGTCTGATGTCAGTATAATTACATCTCCTGTCTGTATTCCAGTGGGAGAGTCTGTTGTCTGATGTCAGTATATTTACATCCCCTGTCTGTATTCCAGTGGGAGAGTCTGTTGTCTGATGTCAGTATATATATACATCTCCTGTCTGTATTCCAGTGGGAGAGTCTGTTGTCTGATGTCAGTATTGGAAGAGTCTGTTGTCTGATCTACATCTCCTGTCTGTATTCCAGTGGGAGAGTCTGTTGTCTGATGTCTGTATTCCAGTGGGAGAGTCTGTTGTCTGATGTCAGTATAATTACATCTCCTGTCTGTATTCCAGTGGGAGAGTCTGTTGTCTGATGTCAGTATATATATACATCTCCTGTCTGTATTCCAGTGGGAGAGTCAGTTGTCTGATGTCAGTATAATTACATCTCCTGTCTGTATTCCAGTGGAAGAGTCCGTTGTCTGATGTCAGTTGTCTGTATTCCAGTGGAAGAGTATGTAGTATATATATACATCTCCTGTCTGTATTCCAGTGGAAGAGTCTGTTGTCTGATGCCAGTATATATATACATCTCCTGTCTGTATTCCAGTGGGAGAGTCTGTTGTCTGATGTCAGTATAATTACATCTCCTGTCTGTATTCCAGTGGGAGAGTCTGTTGTCTGATGTCAGTATAATTACATCTCCTGTCTGTATTCCAGTGGGAGAGTCTGTTGTCTGATGTCAGTATAATTACATCTCATGTCTGTATTCCAGTGGAAGAGTCTGTTGTCTGATGTCAGTATGAGTATATCTCCTCCTGTCTGTATTCAAGTGGAAGAGTCTGTTGTCTGATGTCAGTATGAGTATATCTCCTCCTGTCTGTATTCACGTGGAAGAGTCTGTCGTCTGATGTCAGTATATTTACATCTCCTGTCTGTATTCCAGTGGAAGAGTCTGTTGTCTGATGTCGGCGGACAGGCAGGGTTGTGGCTGGGCTTCTCCCTCCTCACGCTGGGTGAGGTTCTGGAGCTGATCGCGGACGTTGTCATCCATATATGCACAAAGCCTTTCCGGTCAAAGAAGGTAGAGGTGTCCAGCAAATAGACAGACGAACCACACTTCCCCGTATGCAATGTATGAGATGTTATCTGCTGTTGGGCGATACACCGCTCATAGCCACAACACTGACGCTGAGAAATACGTACTTCAGCTTAAACACTGGATGTAACTGTACAGCAGGCCAGGGATTTACATTCTGTTTGGTGTAATGCTATTTTGATCGTGATGACCGTTGTTGTCAAAGATTTCAGCACTAATACTGCTGCATCATAACATAGTATTTCAGCACTAATACTGCTGCATCACAACATAGTATTTCAACACTAATACTGCTGCAACATAACATAGTATTTCAACACTAATACTGCTGCATCATAACATAGTATTTCAGCACTAATACTGCTGCATCATAACATAGTATTTCAACACTAATACTGCTGCAACATAACATAGTATTTCAGCACTAATACTGCTGCAACATAACATAGTATTTCAACACTAATACTGCTGCATCATAACATAGTATTTCAACACTAATACTGCTGCATCATAACATAGTATTTCAACACTAATACTGCTGCAACATAACATAGTATTTCAACACTAATACTGCTGCAACATAACATAGTATTTCAACACTAATACTGCTGCATCATAACATAGTATTTCAGCACTAATACTGCTGCATCATAACATAGTATTTCAGCACTAATACTGCTGCATCATAACATAGTATTTCAGCACTAATACATCATAACATAGTATTTCATCATAATACATAACATAGTATTTCAACACTAATACTGCTGCATCATAACATAGTATTTCAACACTAATACTGCTGCATCATAACATAGTATTTCAACACTAATACTACTGCATCATAACATAGTATTTCAACACTAATACTGCTGCATCATAACATAGTATTTCAACACTAATACTGCTGCATCATAACATAGTATTTCAACACTAATACTGCTGCATCATAACATAGTATTTCAACACTAATACTGCTGCAACATAACATAGTATTTCAACACTAATACTGCTGCAACATAACATAGTATTTCAACACTAATACTGCTGCATCATAACATAGTATTTCAACACTAATACTGCTGCATCATAACATAGTATTTCAACACTAATACTGCTGCATCATAACATAGTATTTCAACACTAATACTGCTGCATCATAACATAGTATTTCAACACTAATACTGCTGCAACATAACATAGTATTTCAACACTAATACTGCTGCATCATAACATAGTATTTCAACACTAATACTGCTGCAACATAACATAGTATTTCAACACTAATACTGCTGCATCATAACATAGTATTTCAACACTAATACTGCTGCATAACATAACAGTATTTCAACACTAATACTGCATCATAACATAGTATTTCAACACTAATACTGCTGCAACATAACATAGTATTTCAACACTAATACTGCTGCATCATAACATAGTATTTCAACACTAATACTGCTGCAACATAACATAGTATTTCAACACTAATACTGCTGCAACATAACATAGTATTTCAGCACTAATACTGCTGCATCATAACATAGTATTTCAACACTAATACTGCTGCATCATAACATAGTATTTCAACACTAATACTGCTGCATCATAACATAGTATTTCAACACTAATACTGCTGCATCATAACATAGTATTTCAACACTAATACTGCTGCATCATAACATAGTATTTCAACACTAATACTGCTGCAACATAACATAGTATTTCAACACTAATACTGCTGCAACATAACATAGTATTTCAACACTAATACTGCTGCATCATAACATAGTATTTCAACACTAATACTGCTGCATCATAACATAGTATTTCAACACTAATACTGCTGCTGCATTTCATAACATAAGTATTTCAACACTAATACTGCTGCAACATAACATAGTATTTCAACACTAATACTGCTGCATCATAACATAGTATTTCAACACTAATACTGCTGCATCATAACATAGTATTTCAACACTAATACTGCTGCAACATAACATAGTATTTCAACACTAATACTGCTGCATCATAACATAGTATTTCAACACTAATACTGCTGCATCATAACATAGTATTTCAACACTAATACTGCTGCATCATAACATAGTATTTCAACACTAATACTGCTGCATCATAACATAGTATTTCAACACTAATACTGCTGCAACATAACATAGTATTTCAACACTAATACTGCTGCATCATAACATAGTATTTCAACACTAATACTGCTGCATCATAACATAGTATTTCAACACTAATACTGCTGCATCATAACATAGTATTTCAACACTAATACTGCTGCATCATAACATAGTATTTCAACACTAATACTGCTGCATCATAACATAGTATTTCAACACTAATACTGCTGCATCATAACATAGTATTTCAACACTAATACTGCTGCATCATAACATAGTATTTCAACACTAATACTGCTGCAACATAACATAGTATTTCAACACTAATACTGCTGCATCATAACATAGTATTTCAACACTAATACTGCTGCATCATAACATAGTATTTCAACACTAATACTGCTGCATCATAACATAGTATTTCAACACTAATACTGCTGCAACATAACATAGTATTTCAACACTAATACTGCTGCATCATAACATAGTATTTCAACACTAATACTGCTGCAACATAACATAGTATTTCAACACTAATACTGCTGCATCATAACATAGTATTTCAACACTAATACTGCTGCATCATAACATAGTATTTCAACACTAATACTGCTGCAACATAACATAGTATTTCAACACTAATACTGCTGCTGCACTACATAACATAGCATTTATCAACACTAATACTGCTGCAACATATTTAAATAATTTCAACACTAATACTCTTGCATTAAAGGCCACGATGTCAACATAGTGCTTCTGCATTAAAAGCCCCAACACTAATACTCTTGCATTAAAACATACGATTTCAACACTAATGCTTCTATTAAAAGCCCCAACACTAATACTCTTGCATAGTATTTCAACACTAATAATTCTGCTGCAACACTAATATAGTATTGCTGCATTAAAAGCCCCAACACTAATACTGCTGCAACATAACATAGTATTTCAACACTAATACTGCTGCAACACTAATAACATAGTATTTCAACACTAATACTGCTGCATCAAAAGCATAGTAACACTAATACTGCTTGCACATAACATACGATTTCAACACTAATGCTTCTGCATAACAAAAGCCCCAACACTAATACTGCTGCATTATAAGGCCAATATTTCAACACTAATGCTTCTGCATCATAACATAGTATTTTCAACACTAATACTGCTGCATCATAAGGCCACGATGTCAACACTAATGCTGCTGCAACATAACATAGTATTTCAACACTAATACTGCTTGCATTAAAGGCCACGATGTCAACACTAATGCTGCTGCATTAAAAGCCCGAGCACAGGCTCTTGCATTAAAGCCACGATATCAACATTTATAATGCTTCTGCATTAAAAAGCTTAACACTAATACTCTTGCATTAAAGGCCACGATGTCAACACTAGTGCTTCTGCATTAAAAGCCCCAACACTTATACTCTTTCACTAAAGGCCACGATGTCAACACTAATGCTTCTGCATTTAAAGCCCCAACAGTTATACTCTTGCACTAAAGGCCACGATGTCAACACTAATGCTTCTGCATTTAAAGCCCCAACAGTTATACTCTTGCACTAAAGGCCACGATGTCAACACTAATGCTTCTGCATTTAAAGCCCCAACAGTTATACTCTTGCACTAAAGGCCACGATGTCAACACTAATGCTTCTGCATTAAAAGCCCCAACAGTTATACTCTTGCATTAAAAGCCTTGATGTTGGCACCAATCATCTCAGCATTAGAAACTACGACGTTAAGACAATACTCTTGCACTAAAAGCCATTGTCTAATACTCTTGCATTATATCATTTTAATGCTCTCACTGAAACGGCTTGAGTTGAACTCTAAGGCAAGTAAGCCAAGTGTTTTTATTTCAAAACTAATATTCATATTTATGTATTGTTTTAGATTTGTTAGATATATTATAAATATCCACACCTGATTGCTTATTGCTTGTTAATGTTATTGTATGAACGTTTCACTGTGTCATATGTCAGATTACAGTTCCGCCTTTGTTTCAAACAAAAATAAACATAAATACACTTTGCCATGCGTTAGTGTCCTTCTTTTTCAGAGTGGTGTGTGTTTGTGCGTTCTGTCTGTTGGAAGGTATGTGTGTAAGCGTGTGCGTGTGCGTGTGCGTTGGTTAGGTCTACTAATGCCTACAGGGACAAATAGCTACAGGGAATAATAGCTAGATCGGGGTTCACGGTAACACAGAAAGTAATCAGAACCCGGTATACCTCAACTGACTCAATAATGTTAGATAATGTTAGTTTATGTAACTGGGTAGAGGTGTCCAGTTACGTTATAAGGCTTATCATAGTAAGCGAGATATAAAATATTACAACATATTTTGTTACCTTTTAACAAACCTTAAAAACATCTACACAAATCAATGTTTTATGAAAACAGCTCTTTTTGTTTCAAACACACGTGACCAGCAAGCTAAATGACTCGTGACTAACGTATAGACCACTGTTTTAAAATAATCAACACAAAATGAACCAATGAAACAATATTTATATTGAATTTTAGTCAGCATGACAACTCTGAGGTCAGGAAAATCCTATACACCATTTTAAGATAAAACTGCCGCTTCGGAACTACAAATCTCTTACATTAAAATATTGTCCTCTAAGAACAACCAGCACAGTAAAGATGAAAAGAAGCACTGTCAGCACGGGTGTATATGAAATGGGGTAGATAAACGCGACAGCCTCGTTTTCATGAGAAATTTATACTACCTATACTGAGTCGGTTGAACGATTTTGACTGGAATAATGATTTGTTGTATTCCAGAAAAAATGAATTGCACCTGATTCCAAACCATTTCATCCACTAACGTACGTATTTCTTTTGCTATTATGCTTTCACAAACCGAGACATTAAGGTACACTAACGGACGACTGTAGTCTGATTGGCTAATGAAGGTGGGGAGGGGGCTATATTCGCGTTGAAGGTTTGTAGTGGATGATATTTATCTGCAGTGTCATGTGTTAATAATTAAATGAGGCGTGTACATAGCTTCTTTGTGTAGATTCCATTTATTAACGAACCAAAAATAGATTGAAGTCAATTCTTAAGATACTGGGGAAAAATGTGCCCCAGTCGCTTACAACAACATCAAAGATTAA